CTACCAAACAGTATAGATTTGTCATTCATAAGCATATAGCTCTCTCCTTGGAGACTCTGTAACCCAGTGGAACAGATGAGGAAAACTCAGGATGTTCACTTGTGACATTTTCTCCAGCCAGTGTTGTAGTTTTAAGCCATGTGGACAGATCCGCATGCTAAAGAGCTTCTTTTTTTTTTTCTTCAATAGAAAATGAAATGTTATTTTAGGACTTTTTTCCTTTAATTATCTGTTTAATTTATTGGTTATCCACTGGCTTCTCTCTTTGGTGTGGATCTGTAGTTTTCTCTAGTACTTCTGGGAATTTTAATCTAATTTTTTTCATTTGCTCCAATTTATATTTCCCAAAGCTTATGTCTCTAATTGATTTTTGGTGTGAGTTTTGCACCTCTGTGATTTTTGTACTAGGTTTTCCTAGTGTGGCTGTTAGGAATATTGGCAAAGATGCCTCACAACTGAATAAAGACAAACACATTTATTGACTTAGCACGGCTTTTTCTCACTTCAGCCCCATTTCCCAGCGGTCCTACTTGGCATTTTGAAACCATCTGATGATTCAAAGGCCCTTTGAAGTAAGCTGAAATCATTAAAATGAATCTAAAAATCTGTTGGCATTTCCACAGCAGTTTCTTAACTCTATTGTGCAGTTCCAATCCTCCGCTAAAACCTCAACTCTAGATGCAATTTTCCAGGCAAGACCAACCCTGAAATTACCTTTTTTTTGAGGAGGAGGAGGATGCCAAGGTGGGAAGGTGCTTTCTGGCAGCCTGGCGCTGCCATCTCCAGCCGTGAATTCTTGCAGGGGTTTCACATTTCCTGTTTGCAGCTCCATCCTTCCCCTCACATTGGCTCTACTGTGTGAAAATGGAAGCTGGCAAACACCACAGGATTCTAATAAGTTTCTCAGTATTGCAAGCTGTGTGACTTTCCTTACTGTGGAACAAGGTAGCAAAATGAAGCTAAACAACAAACACGTTTCCATCAACAAAATCTGTAAAACTGCGATGTAAACTTCAGCTCCAGAAGCCTTAATTTAGCCCACTTGAGAAACTCACCTCCTGCTTCTTTACTTTGGAGAAGACAAATTTATTTCTCCTTTTTCGATTTCTCTTACTTGCTAAAAAGGCTGATGGGTTTCTAGCACAGAAAATATTTTAATAGAAGGACTTTGACCCCTTTTTCCTTCTTAGGACGTACATGGCTAACGGGCTTTAGGCAGAAGAATGAACAAAATGAGCACAGGACAAAATATATTTCATAAGAATGTCTATTCTTGGAGAGTTTTCCTCCCAAGGAACGTACTCATAACAGTTACTTTATAAAAGAGGTAGATTCAATGATCACTGAATTAATTGAAGTTCAAAAAATGCTATTACATTTATTGAATAAAAAGAGATGCAAAAATATCTTAATGAAGCCAGATGTGGTGTGAATTCTGGGCATTCATGCAAAGACTGTATAAAATAAAAGTGTATACATAAGAATATGGTTTTGAAGAACAATGAACTTGCACTAAGTTATCTCAGCCAGCACTTCCATTAAATGATAGAAATTTGTTTAAGAGGTAGAAGTGACTAAAAGCACCTGCTAAAGGTCATCTTGTTTGGGAGGTTTTTCTCCACTTCTCTATGGTCACACCATCCTTCGTGCACCTTTGGTATTTCCTTAACACCTGTGTTAGGCCTTTATAACAAATGTCATAGACTGTGTGGCTTAAACAACAGACATTTATTCTCACAGTCCTGGGGGCTGAAGTCGAAGATCAAGTCACCACTGATTTGGTTCCTGGTGAAGGATCTCCCATACTCCTTGCTCATTCTGCTGCTCCGGATTATTCCTTATACACATCAAATGAGATATGCCCCAGGGCCTTTGCACTTGCTGTTCCCTCTGTCTGGGTGCTCTTTACTTGAGCACTGCTGGCTCCCTCACTGTTTTCAAGTTTCCATTCAAATGTCATCTGATCACTCTGTCTCTTTATTCTCCCATTTTTCTCTAGTTCCTTTCCCTAATTAATCTTTCTCCGTAGCACAGATCGCAACCTGATTATCATTACTTATTCATACAGGTATTGTCTTATTTCTCCTATTGGAATGTCAGCTCCATCAGGGCAGAGTTTTTGTCCTATTCACCACAGTAATCTCAGAATCTAGAACAGCACCTGGCACTGTTATGAAAAGGAAAGAAAGACACCCTTTTCACGAAGATGGCGCTGACGGCGAAGAAGGAAACCCCGCCCCTCTCAAAACTGCAGCCAAAGCAAAGGCTTTGAAGGCCAAGAAAGCAGTGTCGAAAGGCGTCCACAGCCACAAAAAAAAAAAATCCAGATGTCACCCACCTTCCGGCAGCCCAAAGCGTTGCAGGAGGCAGCCCAGATATCCTCAAAAGAGCGCCCCTGGGAGAAACAGGCTTGACCACTATGCCATCATTAAGTTCCCCCTCACCACCCAGTCAGCCATGAAGAAGAGAGAAGACAGCAACACACTTGTGTTCGTTGTGGTTGTCAACACCAACAAGCACCAGATTAAACAGGCTGTGAAAAATCTCTATGACATTGACCCGGCCAAGGTCAATGCCCTGATCAGGCCTGATGGAGAGAAGGCATATGGTCCACTGGTTCCTGACTATGATGCTTTGGATGTTGCCAACAAAATTGGGGTCATCTAAGCTGAGTCCAGCCAGCTCATCCTAAATATGAAAATTTTCACTCTTGAAAGAAAGAGAGGAAGGAAGGAAGGGAAGAAGGAAAGAAAGAGGCACATTTCCAGCCTACTTAGAATGACAGGTGATCTGATCTGATAAACATCATCTGGTGGAAATTATGGTCATTTTGATGATGAAGAAAAAAAGAAGTGGTTCTATGTTAAGAGATTCTTTCTTGGACTTTGTGAAAGACTCAGAAACTATCTTTTCCTCAAGTGGAGTTTCTTTCTTCATGGATATTAGCAGCATGAATTTAATTGGCAAAATGTTAATGGAGGTAAATGCGCATTTCTTTTAAATAGTAAAAGAAAATTCTTTGAGCCTTTTGTTTTTTATTGCTTGTGCCTTGCCAAATGTCTCTGCATAACCTCCAGCCTTGGGTGATGGCGATTAGGAGGACTTGGTGGTGTGGCCTGGAGCTAAAGCTGTAGGTGATATGAAGTCATCCCAAGAGAGCTGGTGTCCTCAGGGGTTTATGATCTGGGTGCAGAGAACAGACGTTCACTTGCAGCATCTAAGACAGTGCATGTAGGATGCAGAACTAAGATGAATCCTGCAGTTTAAAAATACTGCAGAGGGCTTCCCTGGTGGCGCAGTGGTTGAGAGTCCGCCTGCCGATGCAGGGGACACGGGTTCGTGCCCCCGTCCAGGAAGATCCCACATGCCGCGGAGCTGCTGGGCCTGTGAGCCACGGCCGCTGAGCCTGTGCTCTGCAACGGGAGAGGCCACAACAGTGAGAGGCCCGCATACCCCAAAAAAGAAAAGAAAAATACTGTAGAGATTTAGAGGAAAATCATGCCTGTAGGCCAGAAACATAAGAAAGCCTTGTAAGGAAGATAGGATTTGCACCACGTCAGGAAGGTAAGATAAGACCCTGCTGGCACAGGGGTAGGGAGCATGGCTGGCATAATTCAATTGCTGATGTGTTTGAGGGACCAGGAGGCCAGGGTGCTATTTCCATGGCTGTCGCATTGGAGTGGAAGCAATTGCTTGCTTCTCCATCTACTTTAGAAGTACCACATTGCACAGTGGACCTTGGCCATCTGACTTTCTTTTCAACTTGGGCAATCAAGTTGGAGCTTTTCTAGTCTGAGACTTTTTTGCCCTTGAGCAAAAGCACTCACTCTAAATCACAAGACCCTCCCTTTTCTAGGAGTAGACTGTCTCAGGTATGTGATATTGGCTGCCATCCTCCATATTTACTTTGGAACTTTACTGCCACTGATGGAAAAAGTAAAATAACAGTGTTCTTTTCTGTGTGTGTCTTTTTTTTTTAATTGAAGTATAGTTGATTTACAATGTTGTGTAAATTACTGCTGTACAGCAAAGTGATTCAGTTACACATATATACATTCTTTTTCATATTCTTTTCCGGATATTGAATATAGTTCTCTGTGCTATACAGTAGGACCTGGTTGTTCATCCATTCTCTATATAAAAGCTAACATCTGGGCTTCCCTGGTGGCGCAGTGGTTGAGAGTCCGCCTGCCAATGCAGGGGACACAGGTTCGTGCCCTGGTCCAGGAGGATCCCACATGCCGCGGAGCAGCTGGGCCCGTGAGCCATGGCCGCTGAGCCTGCGTGTCCGGAGCCTGTGCTTCGCAACAGGAGAGGCCACAACAGTGAGAGGTCCGCGTACCGCAAAAAAAAAAAAAAAAAAA